ACTTGGTTATATATCTTGATTATAAGTTTATTTAGAATTGTATAATAATAATTTAGACTTGGTATATCTTTTTAATAGTTTAACTTTTTAAGTCATAATTTCAAATATTTATCTCATAATTATGAAAGAAAAAGTATTATTTTTATTGTCATTTAGAAAGTTTTATTGGCGTTTCTATATTAATGTGAGTATTGTTCCTCCAGATCGGGGTCATAATCTTCCTGGCTCTGGTTGTTGGAGCGATATTTTTCGGATTGAAGTTAAACTCGAGTGGGATTCAGAACCGGTACGAAACATTCACCAGTGTTTGATTTACAGAACAGATGCTGAAGCATCTCAAGAAAAACTCCAATTGTGTGTGTGTTTGTGTTTCAGGATGGGCGCATTATTCTTCATCACTACTAATCAGTGCTTTAATACAATTTCAGCAGTTGAACTCTTCATCACAGAGAGGAAACTCTTTGTGTAAGTACACACAGTCACACTCTCTCTCTCTCACACACACACACACACGCAATTTACAGGGGTGAAATAATTTCCACCTAAATATTATACGTTGAGTGCTCCGTTTATTAGCGGCAGTGATCTTGTTTCGTTGGTTTGTGATGTTTTATGTACAGTTACTATTGTGACTATAATTGTGATATTTGAGTGATATGTCATGTTGTTGTTGTTGTTGTTGTTGTTGTGTCTCAGGCACGAGTACATCAGCGGCTACTACAGAGTGTCTGTGTACTTTCTGTCGAAGCTTCTGTCTGACATCATCATGCTGCGCACCATCCCTGTCATCATCTTTAGCTGTGTGGCCTACTGGATGATCGGTGTGTGTGTGTGTGTGTGTGTGTGTGTGTGTGTGTGTGTGTGTGTGTGTGTGAGATAGTGACTGATAGTGACTGTTAGTGAGTGAGTGCTAGTAAGTTATAGTGAGTGATTGTGAGTGAAAGACTGATTATTTGAAAATGAGTGAGTGAGTGAGTGAGTGATAGTGAGTGAGTTAGTCAGTGAGTGAAAGAGTTAGTGAGTGACTGATAGTGAGTGAGTGATAGTAAGTGAGTGATAGTAAGTGAGTTAGTGAGTGAGTGATAGTGAGTGAGTGATAGTGAGTGAGTAAGTGAGTGAGTGATAGTGAGTGAGTTAGTGAGTGAGTGATAGTAAGTGAGTTAGTGAGTGAGTGATAGTGAGTGAGTGATAGTAAGTGAGTTAGTGAGTGAGTGATAGTGAGTGAGTGATTTACTTGTTTGTTTTATTATTTATATATAATATGTTGATGCTTTGGCAACATTGTGTTACACAGTCATGCTAATAGAGCAAATCAAATTTGAATTGAAATTGAATTGGGTGACTGATGGTGAGGGATAATGAGTGAGTTAGTGAGTGGTAGTGTGTGTGTGTGTGTGTGATAGTGAGAGATAGTGAGTTAGTGATAGTGAGTGAAAGAGTGATAGTGAGTGAGTAAAAGAGTGATAGTGAGTGATAGTGAGTGAGTAAAAGAGTGATAGTGAGTGATTGTGAATGATAGTGAGTGAGTAAAAGAGTGATAGTGAGTGAGTGATAGTGAGTGATTGTGAATGATAGTGAGTGAGTAAAAGAGTGATAGTGAGTGATTGTGAGTGAGTAAAAGAGTGATAGTGAGTGATTGTGAGTGAGTAAAAGAGTGATAGTGAGTGAGTGATAGTGAGTAAAAGAGTGATAGTGAGTGAGTAAAAGAGTGATAGTGAGTAAAAGAGTGATAGTGAGTGAGTAAAAGAGTGATAGTGAGTGAGTAAAAGAGTGATAGTGAGTGATAGTGAGTGAGTAAAAGAGTGATAGTGAGTGAGTGATAGTGAGTGAGTGAGTGAGTGAGTGAGTGAAAGAGTGATAGTGAGTGAGTGATAGTGAGTGATAGTGAGTGAGTGAGTAAAAGAGTGATAGTGAGTGATTGTGAGTGAGTAAAAGAGTGATAGTGAGTGATTGTGAGTGAGTAAAAGAGTGATAGTGAGTGAGTGATAGTGAGTAAAAGAGTGATAGTGAGTGAGTAAAAGAGTGATAGTGAGTGAGTAAAAGAGTGATAGTGAGTGAGTAAAAGAGTGATAGTGAGTGATAGTGAGTGAGTAAAAGAGTGATAGTGAGTGAGTGATAGTGAGTGAGCAAAGGAGTGATAGTGAGTGAGTGATAGTGAGTGAGTGAGTGAGTGAGTGAGTAAAAGAGTGATAGTGAGTTATTGTGAGTGAGTGAGTAAAAGAGTGATAGTGAGTGAGTGATAGTGAGTGATAGTGAGTGAGTGAGTAAAAGAGTGATAGTGAGTTATTGTGAGTGAGTGAGTGATAGTGGTTTCTTCTCTGATGCTGTGTTGTGATTGGTTCTCCAGGCCTGAAGGCATCTGTGGAGGCGTTCTTAATCTTCTTATTCTCCATCCTGATGGTCTCGTACACGGCGACTTCCTTGACTCTGGCCATCTCTGCGGATCAGACGGTGGTGGCCATTGCTAACATCTTTTTGACCATCAGCTTTGTCTTCATGATGGTAAACACACACACACACACACACACACATTCATGCTCATCATAAACTAAAACAACTAAAGGGCTGTTCACACCATCACCGATAACAGTGATTATTCTAAGCTCGCGGGCTGCGGTGTCAGCGGTATCAGCAGATATCATTCTGAATGATCGGCTATCGTCATGGCTATAAATATAAATTGTAGACTTAAATCAAAGATAACATAATAAAAGACATCGGTGTTCAGAGTGTGTATCAGCTGTGTGATTTTGGCTGATCTAAAATACATGTAATGTTAATATAAATACATCTGTGTTTAGTTTAACATTGTTTGTTATTTCTCTCTGTGTGTGTGTGTGTGTGTGTGTGTGTGTGTAGATCTTCTCTGGGCTGCTGGTGAATCTCCCCAGTGTGGCTAATTGGTTGAACTGGTTGAAGTACTTCAGTATTCCTCGTTACGGTCTCGCTGTGAGTGTCCAATCAGAGCTGGTGTCTCAAACTGCCCTAAGTTGGCATACTCTGACACGCAGCAGTGTCGTTTTACTATCATTGAAAGACTAGATGTAAAAAAATATCTAAAAGTATTTTTTAACTATATAAAACATTGCTTTAAGTATGTTATGTTGGCTTGTCAACGCAATGTTAATTCATGCTAGCAACAGGTTAAATCATGTTATCAATATGCAAAAAAATGTTAGCAATATGTTAAATCATGATAACAACATGTTAAAGCATGTTAGCAATGTGTAGTTAAAATCATGCTTGCAACATCATGAATCATGCAAGCAACATGTTAAAACATCAGCAATGGTAAATCATGCTAGAGACATGTTAGCAAAATGCTAAAGGTTTTTTTGAAAAGTGTTGGAGTAACGCAGCAGAAGTGACACGAGTGACATAATCAGATTACTTTATTTACAACAAATTTTTTTATTACCTAACACAAGAAAAATGAGAACTTTTTGTTATTTAGAAACAAAGAAGCAACCCAAAGATGAGAAAAAGTAACGCAAAGGAAAACATATATACATACATGCAAGCATCTTCTTCCGCTTCATCCGGGGCCGGGTCTGTATCCGGGATCTTGTCCTTTCGGTCATGACCCAAAGCTCATGACCATAGGTGAGAGTAGGAACGTAGATTGACCAGTAAATTGAGAGCTTTGCCTTACGGCTCAGCTCCTTCTTCACCACAACAGACCGGTACATCGACCGCATTGCTGCAGAAGCTGCACTGATCCGTCTGTCAATCTCCCGTTCCATCCTTCCCTCACTCGTGAACAAAACCCCAAGATACTTAAACTCCTCCACTTAAGGAAGGATTTCTCCACCAACCTGAAGTGAGCAAGCCACCCTTTTCCGACTGAGGACCATGGCCTCGGATTTGGAGGTGCTGATTCTCATCCCAGCCGCTTCACACTCGGCTGCAAACCGTCCCAGTGCATGCTGAAGGTCAAGGTGTGAAGGGGCCAACACGACAACATCATCCGCAAAAAGCAAAGACGAAATCGTGCGGTCCCCAAACCTGACACCCTCCGGCCCCTGGCTGCGCCTAGAAATTCTGTCCATAAAAATTATGAACAGAACCGGCGACAAAGGGCAGCCCTGCCGGAGTCCAACATGCACCGGGAAGAAGTCTGACTTACTACCGGCAATGCGAACCAAGCTCCTGCTTCGGTCATACAGGGACCGGACAGCCCTTAGCAAAGGACCCCGGACCCCATATTCCCGGAGCACCCTCCACAGGCCGCCTCGGGGGACACAGTCGAATGCCCTCTCCAAATCCACAAAACACATGTGGACTGGTTGGGCAAACTCCCGTGAACCCTCCAGCACCCTGTAGAGAGTATAGAGCTGGTCCAGTGTTCCATGGCCCGGATGAAAACCACACTGTTCCTCCTGAATCCGAGGTTCCACTATCGGCCGTATTCTCCTCTCCAGTACCCTGGCATAGATTTTCCCAGGGAGGCTGAGAAGTGTGATCCCCCTGTAGTTGGAACACACCCTCCGGTCCCCCTTCTTAAAAAGAGGAACCACCACCCCGGTCTGCCATCCCAGAGGCACTGTCCACGACCGCCACGCGATGCTGCAGAGGCGTGTCAACCAAGACAGCCCCACAACATCCAGAGACTTGAGGTATTCAGGGCGGATCTCATCCACCCCCGGTGCCTTGCCACAGAGGAGTTTCTTGACTACCTCGGTGACCTCAGCTAGGGTGATGGACGAGTCCACCTCTGAGCCCTCAGCTTCTGCTTCCTCAATGGAAGACGTGACGGCGGGATTGAGGTTGATCCTCAAAGTATTCCTTCCACCGCCCGACGACATCCCCAGTTGAGGTCAACAACCGCCCACCCCTACTGTAAACAGCATTGATTGGGGACTGTTTCCCCCTCCTGAGGCGCCGGACAGTTTGCCAGAATCTCTTCGAGGCCAGCCGATTCAGTCCTTCTCCATGGCCTCACCGAACTCCTCCCAGGCCCGAGTTTTTGCCTCCACAACCACCCGGGCCGCAGTCCGCTTGGCCTGCCGGTACCTGTTAGCTGCCTCCGGAGTCCCACGAGCCAACCAGGCCCAATAGGACTCCTTCTTCAGCTTGACGGCATCCTTTACTTCCGGTGTCCACCACCGGGTTCGAGGATCGCCGCCTCGGCAGGCACCGGAGACCTTACGGCCACAGCTCCGAGCAGCCGCTTCGACAATGGAGGTGGAGAACATGGTCCACTCAGACTCAATATCTCCAGCCTCCCTCGGGATCTGGTCGTAGCTCTGCCGGAGGTGAGAGTTGAAGATCTCTCTGACAGGAGATTCGGCCAAACGTTCCCAGCAAACCCTTACAGTACGCTTGGGTCTGCCAAGTCTGTCCAGTCTCCTCCCCCACCATCGGATCCAACTCACCACCAGGTGGTGATCAGTTGACAGCTCTGCCCCTCTCTTCACCCGAGTGTCCAAGACATACGGCCGCAGGTCAGATGAAACGACCACAAAGTCGATCATCGACCTGCGACCTAGGGTGTCCTGGTGCCACGTGCACTGGTGGACACCCTTATGCTTGAACATGGTGTTCGTTATGGACAAACTGTAACTAGCACAGAAGTCCAATAACTGAACACCACTCGGGTTCAGGTCGGGGGGGCCGTTCCTCCCAAACACGCCCCTCCAGGTGTCACTGTCGTTGCCCACGTGAGCGTTGAAGTCCCCCAGTAGAACGACGGAGTCCCCAGTTGGAGCACTTTCAAGCACTCTTCCCAGAGACCCCAAGAAGGCCGGGTACTCTGCACTGCCGTTCGGCCCGTAGGCACAAACGACAGTGAGAGACCTATCCCCGACCCGTAGGCGCAGGGAAACGACCCTCTCGTTCACCGGGGTAAACTCCAACACATGGCGGCTGAGCTGGGGGGCTATTAGCAAACCCACACCAGCTCGTCGCCTCTCACCTTGGGCAACTCCAGAGTGGTGAAGAGTCCATCCTCTCTCAAGGAGTCTGGTTCCAGAGCCCAAGCCATGCGTAGAGGTGATCCCGACAATCTCTAGTCGGAACCTCTCAACCTCACGCACAATCTCGGGCTCCTTCCCCGCCAGCGAGGTGACGTTCCACGTCCCTAAGGCTAGTTTCTGTGTCCAGGGATCGGGTCGCCGAGGCCCCTGCCTTCGACTGCCGCCTCTCTGCACCGGCCCCTTACGGCTCCTCCTGCAGGTGGTGAGCCCACGGGAAGCCGGCCCCACGTCGCTCCTTCGGGCTGAGCCCGGCCGGACCCCGTGGGGAGAGGAAAACATTAGCAAAGGAAAACATTAGTTTATTTAGTAACTTTTTGTGGAAAGTATTGATTCGTTTTTAGCTACGTGTTAAATCAGGTTAACTTATTTCACTCAGTTATTTAAGACTTTCAGACAGGGCTTCGTCATAAAACTTTACTCATCCAGTTTGTATTAATGTTGATTTCAGTGGTAATTATTGCAGTTCATGAAGGTGAACTAAATAACAAGCCGGTTAAAAAAAACCCAGATTTGATTTCAAGTTCAAGCAATATTTTTGGACTTCTTTTTTTTTAAGTATAAGAACCCTGACACTAAACACTTGCTGTTTGATTTATTGAATGCAGAAGAAATCATGTTTATTTATGGTTGATGATGATTGTTTCAGGCTCTGCAAATCAACGAGTTCACCGGCCTCAGTTTCTGTGACACCAGGAACACAACCGGCACGCCAGAGAGAGTGTGAGTAACTAAATTACCCAAATAAAACCCTTAAAACTGATCACCAAAATGACAGCTATACTGTAAATGGGTTTTCCTTTGAAAAAAAAAAAATCTGCCTTTAAATATCTTGAATGTAATTCGACACCCTTGCCTCATTTAGTATACGTGGTTCTATGAATATTCAAATGAGCCCCGCCTCCACTCACTCAGAGATCCACTAGTTGGCGATCACACGTTGATCTGATTGGTTACAAGGTGGTTTGTGACGTCAGAAACACCAGCGATTTCAAAGTGTGTTTTTGAGACTGTCTTTGGTTCACTGCAGTTTTAAAGAGGAAATACTCAGCAATGCTGTCCACTTATCTACTTACACACGGTGTGTGTTAAAGCGGATTAAAAACACCACATACACACATAAACAACATTTAAAGCTGGATTTACACCACAGGGGGACTTTAATAGAATTAAGTTGAATTAATATGAAATCAATCCAGTGAACACTTGGTATTAATAATAGTTTTGACGTCTGGTTTGTTCTCATGGCAGTTGCACCGCAGGCGAGGAGTTCCTGATGGATCAGGGCATCAATAATTCAGCCTGGGGTTTGTGGCAGAATCACTTGGCTCTGGCAATCATGACCTTCATTTTCCTGGTAATTGCTTACCTCAAGCTGCGCTTCATCAAGAAATTCACATAATCTCAGATCATCGTCTTCCTCACACACTCCTTCATCATAAGACACCGTTTTCACACGGAACCAATCAATCATCCTGTACTGAAGTCATACAATCGTCTACAATACAATCAGCTTTAACTGTGCTCAGGTGTGTTAAAAAAATCATAATGTCATATGTCAATGTTTGACATGTGTAAGTTAACTTTGTTTGGTGCATGTTTTTCTATGGGACTATACTAATATTTCTGCAACATTTAATTTATATATATATTGCTAAAATACTTTTTTAAGAGAGCTGTTTAATAAAAACAAATGTTCACAAAGTTTGTCTCAGTCATTTTAGGCTATTCATGTCTTAATGAGAATTAAAATTTGCCTTGATCTTATTATGGCATATAAAAGGTCTTTATTTCGTTAAAACATCTTGATTCAAACGTCCTCATTATAAACAGAGTTTTTTTTTAATCAAGCTCCAAAAACAGCGGGATCTGTGACATCATACATTTGCATATGCCCGCCTCCAGAGCGAGACATGGACCAATAGTTACACCTCATCTCACTATAAGCTCCGCCCACTGGAGTTCAGTCTCTAAAATTAAAGTTTTTTGTGCAAAAACTTTAGTAACAAGTGAACCTCATGGAATATTAAAATAAAATATTATAAAATTTATGTCATCTTGACCTCTTTATTCTTCCTACATTCAATACGTGAAACCAACCTTACAGTATTGACTTTTTTTGGTTCAGTTCCATCATATCAATCCTACTAATAAATATTAATCTCCGTTGATGTCACTCATGTTAGTCAAAAAGAATATTTAATAATACAATTCTCAAAAGTATTTCACAAACATGACTGGATCTGAAACATGGTATCAAAATATTTATTTTATCTCAAGCTTTCAAAAATAAAAAGGTGAAACATTTCATTATAAACACAAACATTATTACGAAACGTCTCGGTTACGGATGTAACCCTCGTTCCCTGAGTAGGGAATGGAGACGTTACGTCAGAATGACGGAGAATGGGGGTTTCGCATAGAAAGCCAATCCTCTTCGAGTATTTAATAACGAGCCAAAGCATTAAAATGCCTTGGGGCTGCGGAATTTGCATAGCGTACTCCACCCACCCCATGGGTATAAAAGGAGGAAGTGAACGCAACCGCAGTATGTCTTCGCTGAGGAGCCAAGACTGAACTCTGCGTCTACCCAGCGGTACAGCAGAAGTGGCAAGGAGACGTAACGCAAGGAGACCCTTTCGGTGCCCGCATCATGAGTGCTGGAGGACTCAGGGCTTCAAAGGAAGACTCAACTGAAGAATATCGCACTTACCCAGTCCGAGGAGTGGAATGGCGAGCAAGCGAAGACACCTAAGCGGGTCCAGTACTGGCGGGAGCGAGTACGCGAGAGGACACCGGCTCAATTCGCAGATTATAGAATCTCGCGAAGGTGTTTGTAACGCCCAGCCTACAGCTCTGCAGATGTCTGTTAGCGAGACGCCATGCGCTAAAGCCCAAGAGGAAGCCACACTCCGAGTGGAGTGGGCCACCAAGGGGGCACGGTCGACCTTGCTGTTGGTAAGCCAAAGCAATGGCGTCCACTATCCAGTGAGACATCCGTTGCTTTGAGAGAGCCCTTCCCTTCTGGCTCCCCCCATAACAGACAAAGAGCTGGTCTGAGGTCCTGAAACACCGCATTCTGTCGACATAGGTGCGCAGCGCACGTACCGGACAGAGCAGTGCCAAGGCTGAGTCTGCCTCCTCCAGGGGCAGCGTTTGCAGGTTCACCACCTGGTCCCGGAAGGGAGTGGTGGGAACCTTGGGCACATATCCAGGCCGGGGTCTCAAGATCACGTGAGAGTAAGTCGGCCCGAATTCCAGCCACGCTTCGTCAACAGAGAATGCGTGCAGGTCCCCTACCCTCTTGAAGGAGGCCAATGCAACCAGGAGTGCTGTCTTCATGGACAGAAACTTTAACTCTACCGATTGCAAAGGCTCAAAGGGAGGCCTCTGCAGAGCACTTAGAACTACTGAGAGGTCCCAAGAGGGAACGAGGGGAGGGCGAGGCGGATTTAGCCTCCCCGCTCTCCTCAGGAACCTGATGACCAGGTCGTGCTTTCCCATAAACTTACCTTTCCCTGCATCATGAGACGTGAGAGTAAGCCGGCCCAAATTCCAGGCACGCTTCGTCAACGGAGAATGCGTGCAGGTCCCCTACCCTCTTGAAGGAGGCCAATGCAACCAGGAGTGCTGTCTCCTGGTTGCAATGGCTGCGACGTAAACCTTAAGGGTGGAGGGCGACAGCCTACGCTCCAACCCTTCTTGCAGGAAGGAAGGCACGACACTGATCGAACATCTCCGGGGGTCTTCTCCGGGAAGAGCACCAGTTGACGAAGAGGTGTCTCATGGACGATGCTCTAGCGGAAGTGATGGTTGCCGCCACCGCAGGTGGCAGCGAACTCAAACCTGCCTCGTCCCGACCAGGAGCCACACATGTAGCCTCCAGAGTTTGGGACGAGGGTGCCACAGGATGCCCCGTCTCTGAGTAGATCTTGCCTCAGAGGAATAGGCCAAGGAGGTGCTGTCGCGAGGAGCATCAGTTCGGAGAACCACGTCTTGGTGGGTCAATAGGGGGCTACCAACAAGACCTGCTCCTCGTCCTCCTTGATCTTGCACAACACCCGTGCAAGAAGGCTCACTGGGGGAAACGCATACTTGCGTGGGCCCCGCGGCCAGCTGTGCGCCAGTGCGTCTGTTCCGAGCGTGCCCTCGGACAGGGAATAAAACTGGGCGCAGTGGGACGAGTCCCAAGAGGCGAACAGGTCTATCTGTGCCTCCCCGAACTGGTCCCAAATCAGCTGGAGCGTCTGGGGATGGAGTCGCCATTCGCCGGAGATAGGGCGATCCCGTGACAGCTCGTCGGCCGCCAGGTTCCGGTCTCCTGGAATGTAAACTGCACGAAGGGACCTCAGGTGCTTCTGACTTCATAACAGGTGGTGGCGAGCGAGCTGCGACAACCGACGTGAGCGTAGACCACCCTGATGGTTGATATATGCTACCGTAGCGGTATTGAGTCATCCACGAACGCCGCTGCTGCATGTTGAATGCCCAGACACACAGAGCAGCGATCGTGACCATCAGATGACGACATAAATCGATCGCACCCAGAAGAACACGGGCGAACCATCTTTAAAAAGACGTGCCACGTGCAGCTCTTTCAGAAGAGAGGAGGAAATTCAGTCTTTCAGCGCTGAGGCGTCCAGGGAGAAGCGCAAAGTCTGGCAGACCACTGCTCAGATCGCAGGCGATGCAGAATCTCGCTGGGTACCGCCGTCACACCAACACTGAAGAGGACGCTCGTCTCGAAGAGTCTTGTCAGTGAGAAATGGCTTTAGGAGTGAAGAGGTCTCTTGGCTCCTCAGCGAAGACATACTGCGGTTGCGTTCACTTCCTCCTTTTATACCCACGGGGTGGGGCGGAGTTACGCTATGCAAATTCCGCAGCCCCAAGGCATTTTCATGCCATTGGCTCGTTATTAAATACTCGAAGAGGATTGGCTTTCTATGAGAAACCCCCATTCTCCGTCACTCCTGACGTAACTCGGAGTGACTGCGAAAGGGAACTTGTTTATTTATTAAAAATATGGCCTGTTATGAATGCAATAAACCCTTTAAATTTTTTATTTTAAGCTCGTTTGTATTATTATTAGTAGTAGTAATAATTGTATATGCAGCTGCCACACACTAATCTAATTTAATTGCAATTACAATATTTATAATTTTAGTTATGATTATTTATTGCAAAACTATGCAGCCCTTTTCTAAATCTCTATCCATGATTCTGATCCATAATAGAAGGATGATTGGATGAGGGATGGATGTATGGATATCTGTCTATACAGATGCACACAAACAATACAAATAAAAACTGAATTATGTGTGTTACACACAAGTGTTACAACTAACCCTTCTGTCTGTTACAATAAACCCCGCATATGGGGTAAGTTGTAACATTTGCACTTCTGTCACGTTCAGTGCAACTGTACGAAAATGCTAGGTCCTAGAAAAAACATTTGTAGCAGAGATGTGTACAGTATGTTGCTTGTGTAAAAAAAGTATTAATCTAACCTAATTATTTTTTAATTAATTGAGCCAAAACCAAAATGTGTTAGGTTGTGCCCCGCTCTCCCCTACTGTGATAATCATAAAGACATCAGCTGCTTTTAAGTGTCATCGTATATGTTGTCCCCGATAACTTGAACTAGGAATGAATGTCTGTCTAATCGTAAATCACTCACACACACACACACACACTTTACCTGTTTGTCAGCTCACTCTGTTTGTGTTTCTCATCAAGCATGCAAAAACAGCAGATGCACTGACCATCAGTGCGACAGTAAACCTCCAAGAGCCTCTGGTGTTCACCGCACATCTTCTCCAGGAGGTTTCCAGTGACGTCCACCAGTAAGTGTGTATTCCCAGCACTCAAGTCATTGTGCATCTCAAGGTGAGTTTCGCAGTACGACGCCAAACACACCAGACAAGTCTTGATGGCTTTCTCCTCCCTACCAGTGCAGGAGTCGCACGTCTGAAATCCCATCTTTCCCAGTTCCCCTGCAACCGAATCTACGGATTCATCCAGATCTGTCCCGCACCGATGAAAGGTGTTTTCCTTCAGGTCCTGGAGGCAAATCGAGCACATGTGTGTGTTCTTATCATCTGCCATTTGCATGGAGGTCTAGGAGCTCTGTGTTAAAGAGACAAACACTTTCCTTTTCGTTCCTTTACCTTATGCGTAATTGTTGGTTTGTGTGTGTGTGTGGCCACAGATAAAGAGAGACAGAACTCATGTGAAACCTAATTCAGAGAGACAGATAGTTGCGTGCTACTGTGTGGTTAGATAAATGAAATAACTTGGAGTGACCAGAAAAACCAGTCAAAGACGACAGAACGCTGTCATGTGGATATTTAAAATATTTTCATGTTGTGTTTGCATGCATATCGAGGTGGATTGAGGTTGAAAAGATTGTGAACTCTTGGTTTGTTGTCGCTTTTGTAGTTTTTTTCTCTCAGTGAGTGTTTTTTTGATAAGGTTTATATGTGGACAGAGTCCAGTTGCCGTGAGCTTGTCAAACACACTGTTGTGTAA